ATACAGCAGCCGAAGTAACTAAAACGCTGAGAAACTTGTTTATTCTGCTGTGCTTGTCTTTATAGATGAGCTGGCATTTTTTTTCCTTACAGATTTTAATAGTGTTTTTTCCTTTGCACTTTTGACAACTTGACTATAATATGCCATGGGGTTATTTTCTGGTCATGTCTATTTTGAGTTCTAAATACCTCCTGAATTTTGATGTGCATACAGTGGGAAAGTTTCTGCTATAACATCATTAAAGTTTTTTGTTTTTGAAGACAGGGTCTCACTTGTAGCACTGGCTGGCCTGGAACTCTACTACATAGATCAGGCTGGCCTTGAACTCACAGAGATCCACTGCCTCTACCTCCTGAGTGCTACATGCCCAGCTGCTATGACTTCATTGAATAGGTTGCCTATGCCTTTAGTTTGTATCTCAGCTTCCTCTATCCTGTGGATTCTTAGACTTGGTCTCTTGATTGTATCTCAGGGTTCTTGGGATGTTGTGGTCATCCTTATTTCCTCCTTATTGATGTTTAAATCAGAATTTCACCAACTTTGTCCTCCAACCCTGGTGTTTTCTTCTGGTTAATCACATCTATTGACGGTGCTTTCCACTGTACTTTTCATTTTGGTTTTCTGTGCTTTTCATTTCCAAAATTTTTAACCACCTCTCAATTTCCTTTCTGAATTTTTCTTTCATCTTGCTGACTTTTCCCTCTCTGTTGCTGATTTTCTTCTTCAGGTTCTGGCTCAATTCCTCTGCTTCTTTGAATCCTCTTTGAGGTCATGGATCATTTTTACTAGTACACTTCTGAAATCTTGATCAAGTATTTGGCCTATTTTAGTATCTTTGAGTTTAGTAGTTGCACTCATTTGGAGGATTAACAATACCTTCGTTTTACTTCTTTATGTCTGTGATGTAACTTGCACATTTATAGGTCTGTGTATCTCTTCTGGCTTTGTTTGGGGATCCTCTTATTGAGTAGCCAATTCTTTTTAAAATTATTTTATTATTTTTATTTTTTGTGTATGAGTGTATTACCTGCATGTATGTACGTGTACCCATGTCATACAGTGCCTGAGGAGGTCAGAACAGGGTGTTGGATGGCCCGAAACTGGAGTTACATATAGTTGTTAGCTGCCACGTGGGTGCTGGGATTTGAACCTGAGTCTTTTGCAAGAGCAGCCGCTGCTCTTGACTGCTGAGCCATCTCTTCACCCCTGAGAGTAGCCAATTCTTAAGGGCTCAATTTAAAATTAAAACCTGGTAATAAATTACCAACGACCATAAAACAAAATAGAAAATGAATGCATTAAAATTAAAAACTATTTAAAAGTATGGAAATGAATGGTAAATGAATGGGCCAAAGGAAGGGGACAGGAAAGGGGGAAAAGAGGAAAAGCTAAATAGGTGAAAGAAACAGAAGTGGGGAACAATGTGGAGGAGCAAAAAGCAAGAGGTTAGAAAAGACGGAAAAAGTTTCCCAATGAAAAAGTTAAAAAACAAAATTAAGACAAATATGTGAAGACTAAAAAATAAAAAGTATTTTTTAAAATGTTATGAAACTTGCTAAAAATGAAAAATGAGAAAAGGGGGAGCACAAGTGGCAAGACAAGAAAAAAAGATGATGTGCTGTGCAGCTTCCTCCTTGGCCCTCAAAAATCAAAGATTGCTGGCTATGTGCACTGAGGGGAGAGGTCACTGAACCTGTGTTCATCTTTCTGTTCTTTAGGCAGTTGCTGAATCTGTACTGGACAAGTATCCAATACCTGCCACTGCAGCCATCACTTTGTAGCTTCCCTTCTGAGTACCAGGGGCTTCAGCTGGGCAGTGTCGGTGCCAGAGACTCTCCAGATTGCACCCCACAGATGGCTACTATTCTAGCAGGGTGTATCCCAACTGTGTTGGGAGTGTGAGAAGCAATCACAGCACAGAGATCCATGTAGACCAAGACCCAAGTATTAATCCCCATACTAGAGAGATGCAGCTGAGGGTGTCAAGTAGGTAAGTGGAGCTTCTGAGTTTTCAGACTCTGAACTTAGGCTCAAGACTAGCCAACTCTGGGGCTAGTCTCATTTGATGAAATCTGCTTCTAGCTAGCAAGGATGGGTTACTTTCCACACGTACTTTTCCTTGTCTGAGCTGACCTTCCCACTGAGTGTACTCTGGGGCTGTCAGCATCTGGCCCTCCCACCCACCAACTCTCCTTCTAGGGTTCACTTATCCTGGGGCTGTAGCACATTAAATTCAGGCTCCCTGGCTTGTTCCTGTTTCCTGTTCTCAACACCCCTAGGTAGTTCGGTTTCAAACAACAGGATCTCCCAGATGGTGCCTGGCTTCTGTCTCCAACTTACAGAGTTACAGAATGGGATTCATGTACACCTCTGACCCAATCACTGATGAATCACTGTCTCATCAAACTTCACACCTGGTTTTGAGGACCAAGGGCTGTGGGCTTGTTTTGAAAACAGGACCCCCCCCCACTCTCTTTTTACAGGGCATGCCTGGCTTACCTCTTGGAGGAGTCTTTGACCTCTCTCTCCAAACTGCCCAGCTAGACTGCATTCTCTTATTTTCTTCACATCCCTTCTCACCTTTTTTCTCTGCACTTTTAAAGCATTCTACCACTACCTTTGTGTCTGCTGTTCTTCCTTTTTAAAAAAATATTTTACTATTTTTATTTTACATGTATGAGTGTATTGCCTGCATGTATGTGAGCGCACCTGTGTTGTACAATGCTGCGGAGGTCAGAAGAGGGCTTCTGATTCTCCTGGAACTGGAGTTAAGGATAGTTTATAGCCGCCATGTGGGTGCTGTGAATCGGACCTGGGTCCTTTGGAAGAGCAGTCAGTGCTCTTAACTGCTGAGCCATCTCTCCAGCCCGGTTCTTCCTTTTTTAAAAATAATTTTATTATTTTTATGTGTATGCGTGTATTGCCTGCATGTATGTGAGCGCACCTGTGTTGTACAATGCTGACGGAGGTCAGAAAGGGCTGTCTGATTCTCCTGGAACTGGAGTTAAGGATAGTTTATAGCTGCCATGTGGGTGCTGGGATTCAAAGCTGGGTCTTCTACAAGAACAACCAGTGTTCTTAACTGCTGAGCCATCTCTCCAGCCCTGTTCTTCCTCTTTTGAATAGTCTACCTTACAACAGAAATGTAGTAAAATTCCATCAAATATTTTTGTTTAAAGTAGAATTTAAACAGAGGAATACCCAGTGCATACAGTATGTACACAAATGATACAGCCCGAGTTGTAAATGGCACTCAAAATCACCAACCATGGGCCAGGCACAGAGGCGCATGCTTTTAATCCCAGCACTCAAAAGGCAAGAGGATCTCTGTAAGATCAAGGTTTACATAGTAAGTTCCAAGCCAGTTGGGGCTATAAGGAGATCCTGTGTCAAAAACAACAAAACAACAACAAAGCCACTAAGTACAACAGTTAAGAGGCTACTCTTACATAGCAACAAACTCTTGCTAAGGTTTCCAAACACACCTCAAAATTTCCTGTCAAATTGTTTTTAAGAAACAGAAGTTTTCTAGTCTCCACATTAACTAATGCCAGGATCATGAAAGTATTTTTATCAGAAAAAAGGAAGAAAAATATCCACACATGGGGTGGTTGAGTGGTGTGAAGATGGGGAAGGGGAGGGGTTGTCAGTGTGTAGGAGGAGTCTGAGTAAGGTGTGTTCTCATGGAAGTGGGTGGGCCACTAAGGCCCTCCACAAGTTAAACTTGTGTTAGCATCATCTTGATATTAGTTTAAAAAAAAATCTATTTTGGAGTTTTTATACTTGATAAGTTTGTAAGTTTGTAATCCGTCTCTCTTCAGGTGAGTCTTTGCTAGCTGCTGAAAACAGGCATCAACAGAACTGAAAAATACTCCTGTCTTCAGGCAGTAACATTGTAGCAGTCTGAGAAATCAGGAGAACCAAGGCAGATGGGATTCTTAGTGAAAGACAATCCTCTGAGCATCAAGCTCAGGTCTTCTTGCAGCCCTGAGGCCAAGTCAGTCCAGTCATTCAGTCCCTGGACAGACAGGGCTACATCTCCCTTCAGCAATGAAGAAGTTTTGGAAAGCACATCTTCAGCCATCATCAGCCCTTAAGATTAATGGATTTAAGTCTCAGAATAGGAAGGAAATGGAGTCAAGGCAGAAACAGAAAAATCAAGGGGACATGGTTAGTAAAGGGAGCCTCTTCACCCTAGAGTCTGTCTGAAGCCTCTTACAGTTAATTTCAGCACAACAAAACTCACCGTAAAGATTGTCTATAGAGATAAGATGCCTTTTTAAAGATATTTCACACAAGAATAGTGAAACAGTAACAAACTAACCCTAATGCCTAAGCATATATTCATTCCTTTGCCAGCAGTAAACAGGTAACCTTTTTCCTGAGAAGCTTGCAAATAAGACTGCAAACATGCTTTTCCTGACCTAAGATTCCTTCGGCCTATGCTCTTTTCTTACCAGCCTGAAGAAGTTCAGTCCAACCTCCTCAGAAATCACCCTATGATCTTGAGAATTTACCACATCAGAATCATTCTGAAGACTTTAGAGCCCACCACATTTCATACATGGCTTCTGTTACGACACTTAGAGAGTTATCCTAGCTTCTGAGACACTCACGTAAATGCCGCTACTTGCTGTCCTTTTCCTTTTTAAAAAACCTCTCTTTGTCTTACCCTTGCTTAAATCTATGTTAGGCCCCCCTGCCCTTTTTTTGGTCTTTTGTGAAATAGGGTCTACTGTAGCCCCAACTGGCCTGGCACTCGCTATGTAGATTAGGCTGGCCTTGAACCCATAGATCTGCCTGCCTCTGTCTCCCAAGTGCTGGGATTAAAGGCGCACCATCACACCCAGCTTAAAACCCCTGTTAATCATCTCTAATTTATTCATGTTACCTTATATTGTAAGGGTTAGGGTATCTTTATCTTTCTATTAGAATAAAACAGAAATTATGACTTAGAATCCTTCAGGCTTGTGTCACCAGTAAGATAAGCACCATAGAAATACCATAGAAAACACATATCATTTATTACATGGACTTAAAAATCAACACAAATCAATTTCAGGCACTTCTTGAGTACACACAATGAGAAATTTCTACCAAAGAACAGTGTATTTAGCAAGCAATACCATAAAGACTTACACTTTCATTTTTAGAATACCCAAGGGCTAGATAATTTAAAATACGAAATATTGCATAATTAACCCAATTGTATCCTGTTACATTTCTTCCCAATTCAAACCATTTTAGAGTTAAACACAAGCACTTTTTAAGCATCCAAAGTACTAAATTCTTCTTTCTTTTCCTCCTCCACTATCATGGTCTTAAAAGAAACTATGCTTCCAGGAATCATGGCATAGATGTTTTATTTTAAGTGGCATTTTGAAACTTTGTTTTCTATAATCTATGCTTCTACACAGACAACCCATGATGGTTGATTACTGATTTCTATCTGTCTTTGTTTCTTTCTCTGATGGAGTTTTTGCTATGTACTCCTGGCTGGCTAAAACTATGTAGCACAGATTGACCTTGATCTCACAGCAACTCTCCTGGCCTTAGTCCCTCAGTGCTGGATCACAGGTCTGCACCACCACACCTGGTTTATTTTGATGTCTTTTAAAGGCTGTTATAGCAGGTTTATTTTGTAATGCTAGGTTTATAATTGCTAATTCCTTTAGATACTTGATGCTGATTTATTTAAATAAACACAAAGAAAAAGTAGAATGTGGGAAATACGTAATCCTGTCTCAACCCAGCCTTAAAAATGAAAATGAAACCAGGAGACCACTAGGTAATCAGAAGACCCTCAAGTTCACAGATAATCTAGAATGTGCGGTTAGATTATCCCTTATTAACAAAGTAGAATAGACTATATATTCTCAAAAATGTCTGCAGAGAAAACTAGACAGTTGTCTACAATTTTTCTATTTACATTAATATTACAGGTTTTGAGGTTGTCTGCTGTATGTGATTGCTGTGGGCACAGCAAGAAATGTAAAGTGCCTGTTGGAAAGGGACAGCATAGTCCCATTTCCAGGCATCTTAATACTATACACTCAGACAAAAGGAAGAGAACCTCCCAGGGACTTCCTGCCTTCCTCCCGCTCCTGCCCTCATCTCTGACTTACTGGAACTACCTCCTAGGCACTTCTTAAAGGCCAGAGAACAGAAACTCTTCTTCCTTCTACTTCATGCCATGCATATCTAAAATTATGTTTACCACCTGCACTAAAAATGCCAAGCAGCAGTGCTAAAGCACTTCGTTATTCTTAAGGCAAAATGTTGTAAGAAAATGAACTCATTCCCCACTTTTCCCAACTACTAGCCTGTCTACTGTGATGGTCAAGGTGTGCTAGGAACATAAAGGAAACTAAACTTTTCAAGGAACCTCAATATAATGGGAAAGATATACTTTATATATAAATGCTATTATGACAAAAATCAAACATATTTAGATGGTTTAGCTTATGGTCATTTTAACCAAGATATCAAGAGACGTATTATTTTCAAAATTAGTATCAAAACAGGACATAATCTACCCACATACACGGAGGTATAAATCTTTGTTCTTTCCAAAGTTAAGCAAAATGATCCTAAATGAGATGTTTGTTTACACCCAGAAGTACCATTTTAACAATTTAAAAGCATTGTTCTTGGCTTAATTCCATCTACATGATGTGCACTGCCAGCATGGCTGTTCATGAGGTTCTCCATCTTACTGGAATAGTGTTAAAACAGCTTTGATACTTTCATACAATCATTCTTGCCCAGTCAAAATTTTATGTACAAGTATTCAGGTATCATATTATTTTTTGATACTAGCCTAGAAAGGTACAAAACCAAAAGACTCTTATTTTTTAAGTGTGGTAAAATTTCATGTATTCTCACTCATGTCCTTTCAATAACTGACTACACTAAGCCAACTTACATGCTTTAAATAACCAATTAAGAATAAATTTTAGTCAATACCTTGACAACACTGGAATGTGCTGGTTGGTATGTGCTGAATGGATACAACAGTAATCCAAGGGACCATGCACATTACTAATCAACTTAAAATAAAAAGTCAAAAGTTGTCGATCTGGGGGGCTACTTTACAGAATACATCTTTGACAAAAATACAAAATGGATGTGAGTTTTTAAGGGAATTTTTAATATACAAGAAGAATTTCTCATTGTGATGAAGAAGTACGAGAACACGTGAACAAAGCCTAGCAGTGCAAAGCTCAGGACCTAGGACTGACTCTGTAAAAGCATGTGGACAAATACCAAATATTACATTTGGAATCTCTTAACATAAACACAAAACACAAAGCAGTCCATGTTAACAATGATCTCCTGTGCCTGACCTACATTTACATATTGTGTTTCACATTTTGCTGACAGATTTTTTTTCAAGTTTTACTGATGCTTATAATATGCACTATTATTTCTTACCAACATCTTTATGAAATTTAAAAGGTTGATATTAAAAGTAGTTATTTCTTTCTTTGAATATTCTAAAACTCGCCAGTTTAGATTAACCTTTAAATTTTCAGGCCACAAAAGGTATATAAATATTCCCCAAGAATATGTTTTTATACAAGATAAACTTGTTTATAATTCTGACAGAAATATCTTCAACTTACAGATGTTAAAATAAAGCCCAAGCAAATATAAAAACTGTTTAGGGTCAAAATATTTCTTAGTATAAATGATATGTCAATTTTTCAGCCAAATTTTTTAAAGCTTTCAGAACATCTGTATTTTAAACTGTTAAACAATGCATTTATGAGGTGGAAGAAGACACAGGGAAACCTACAGAAACAAAGAAAAAAAAAGAAAAAAAATTCTGCAAGTTAAGGGTTTATCAATGTTCCTTGGAAAATACACCTTACTTAACTCTCAAATTTGCTTTAACCAGCATATAATTTAATACCTAAAAAGGCTGCAGCTAAATTATTTAATAATATTTATAGAATGTCACCTCTTTGGGTAGATATATTTCACACCATAATTTTCAATTAAGAATCACCTGATAGTTTTAATCACAATTTATGATCAAATAAAGAGTAATTAGTTGGCCTAAGAATCAACAAAAAGAATAATCTAATGATTGTGCACTGTGCAAGTCTATTGATAGTAACACTAAGCCACGAGCCTGACAGACATTCTCAGCTGCATTCCATGTTTCCAAGTGTGTTACTGAAGGACAAAAACAGGTCTACCACATGAAGTTTTTCCTACTTCATTTAACAGCAACTCAGTGATTTGGGACAGGGGTTGGCTTGTTAGCACAATACAGAGACTATAAGGGAAAAGTACAAAATGACAACACCAATGTTGGTCTTAAGGACATTAGGGAAATAACTAAGGTTATTAATTTGTGTTATTTGCTTTTCTTTAGAACACAAATCAAAGCCATTAACCTGAACTTGAGGTATATACACAATACATATACAACTTTAAGCAAAATACTTTCCATAATATTACATTTTTAAAAATTGGAAACAATATCTGTGCTGATTTGTATTGTCCTAAATGGAACAAAAAGAAAACATTCACTTTGGGGTGGGGTGGTCATGCTCATAATGAAGCTCTCTATTCAAAATGTCTTCCTCTCCCTTTGTACTTACCACAGGCTATACAATGTCCTGAGAGGATTCATTATGAAAAACTGTCAATCACAGCTTTAATGTACTTTGGAAGGAATTAATGAGAAAGCAAATCGAATGGTGAGACTTCATCTTGGTTTTCAAATAAGTGGTCTTAATTTTTCTTCTTATAGAAAATGCTTAAATCAGTTTATTATAAATATATCTAAACCATTCATTTTTGCAGCTTTCAGGTAAAGTCTAACACTTTGTTTACACAAAGTCTGTGAGCAGAGGTCAGTAGAGATCATCTAATCTTCAGTCGTGACATCATCCATTCAAGTCCTTGACATAATCTATAGACAACAAAAATCATGATTAAACTGTGACTGAAAAGCTATGGGCTACAAACCGAAAGATAGTGTTATTTATTTATTTATTTATTTATTTATTTATTTAGTCTTTTTGAGACAGGGTTTCCCTGTAGCCCCAGCTGGCCTGGAACTCACTATGTACACCAGGCTGGCCTTGAACTCACAGAGATCCACCTGCCTCTGCCTCCCGAGTGCTGGGATTAAAGGTGTACGCCACCACGCCTGGCAAGATAGTGTATTTTTTATTAATCCGAAGAATAAAACCTATAAAAGCAGTAAATTCAATGCAGGAGCTGCTACAAGAAGCCATGGTCTCATATTGCACACACATACTTCAGGTTTAGTCTATCTTCATTGTCTAGAATATTGCAAGCATTTAAAGGAACTCCTATAACAAATGTGCATAGGACATCATGAGGTAACATATTAAAACATGTTTAAAGTATCAATATTTTTTGCTTGTTTTTCTAATTCTAGAAATGTATCCTAAAATCAAAAACCAAGAGAAAGAACAGATTTATGCACAAGTCTGTTCATTAAGCATTTTTAATAGGAAAGAGAATTTAAATGTCTAAGAAAGAGAAAACAATTTGGCATATTTTGGAATATCATATGTAATATTAAAACCTTTCCTTTCAAAAAAAATTTTGACATAAAAATGCTCATGACGTAAGTGAAATAAAAATAACAGGGTGTTTAAATATATAGTTAAAGTTCTTAACACAAAGTACACACATCTATTACAACTGTATATAAAATATTTGAAGGCAATAAAGTATATCATTAATACTAGTCATTACTGACCAGTGAATAACTGAACTAGTCTAAAATACAGAAAGGATTATCATCGTGACAAAAGAAATAAAATATTTAGCAGAGGAAAATGGTTAAGAACCAGCTACACCCTTAGCTCTAAACGACTTTCTAAAAGCATAATTTCCCTTTGAAAACACTAGTGGCCATGGTGACTATTCCCTAATTTTATACATAAATCCTTTATTTCAGCTTCTTTCTGCATAAAGTGTGAATTAAAAATGTTCTATAGTGCTGTTGAGGATTAAGTAAGACACTGTGTAGTGGAAAGTGTTAGAGATAGGATAAGTTTGGCAGACTCATCATCAAAAGCATTTTCTGGCTTTTCCGGCTCTCAATGAGTCTCCCATTTCTCTGAGCTACTACAACTGTATCATCTATGCGCTTACATGTATTAATGCAGGTTTATGTGCATCTAGGTTGTATATCTTAGCATTTATAGAATCACCCCAAAGAAGTCTCTGATTACAGACGTTAACTGTCTTACACCTGTCCCTTGTTGATTTATTGACTGACTGGAAAAGAAAATGTTTAAGTCACATGCACAGCACCTAAGAGGAAGACTTCTTACCCTTCGCCAGTGAGAGCACAGCATGCCTGGATATGCCATTGGTGATCTTTAACAGAAGTTAGTTTCAAAAACTGGGAGATTTCTGCTACAGTCATGCATTCTTTAACATCTTGTTTATTAGCAAAAATCAGCAATCCAGCTTTCCTTAGGTCCTATAAAAGCAAATAAAACTTTAAAGGCCAGTACATTTTTCCAGTTTTTCAATGTAACTGATGATTTTTTCATAATCTTAGTAACCTAGAACATCATTTCTTCTTAAAATATTTTATTTTAATTTAATGTGTATGACTGTATTGCCAGCATGTGTGTTAAATGTACCTGTATCATGCAATGCCCATGGAGGTCAGAAGAGGACATTGGGTCCTCTGGAACTGGAGTTATGGACAGTTGCTAGGCACCATGTGAATGCTGGGAATCAAACCCAGGTCTTCTGTAAGAGCAGCCAGTGCTCTTAACTGCTGAGCCATATCTCCAGCCCCTAGAATATCATTTCTTAAAGAATGTTTTATTCTCACAGCTTCCCCGTCCACCAGCCTAGAATTTCTTAACCATTCTATACAACAGTATCTCACATCTCATAGACTGAGAGAAATCACTGAATATATTTGAAATAAATAAATCCTTGTATAGATTTACACACTTTGTGTGTGTGTGTGTGTGTGTGTGTGTGTGTGTGTATGTGTGTATACAATGTATGTGTGGATGTGCATGGAGGTGAGAGGCCAATGTATTTTTAATCGGTCTCTGCCTTTTTTTTTTTCCTCTGTCAAATATTTACTTGTCTTTTATTCCCATTTCTGTGTTACATTAAAGTAAACAGCAGAATCTCCTTAAACAAATACCAGAAGGCTTATATAGGTCCCAGGTTTTTAAGTTGTTTACACCTCCATTTTTGTCATTACAGATTAGGAAAGCAGGTAATACAATCATTATCTCACAAATAAGAAACTAGTAATGATAAAATGAGAAGATCATGAATAGAATTTAAAATAAAAATATCCAGTTAAGTTCATTTAAATCGACTTTTATATGGTAACTCCAGGGAGTCAAACACAGGGCTTGGCCGTTGTTAGGCAAGCACTCTATCACTTAGCTAAGCATTTAGCACTCTTGAATCAGTTTAATATATTGATTTTTTCCAGGGCAACATTCTTTCACCAGGATATTCAAATTCAAAAATGAATTTTACTGAAACCGTTGCTACTAATAAAACAATTACCTATGCCTTGAGGAGGGTTGATAAATACCATCGGAATATAGAAATCTCAGCACTGGGAAGTGCCCCATCACATTTTCACATTTATTCACCAATCAGACACCAGTGACAGCTGCTTACAACATGAAGAAACTTTATCAATTGTAGGTGAGATTGTTCACATCCAAAAATTGATCTTTTCATGTTGAACTTTATATACCAAAATATGTAATCTTTAACATTAACAAAATGAAGTTATCAATGACTATTAAATGATGGAGTCAAGAGAAGAATCTCTTTTTACATTTTATGCTTTATATAACCATAATTTCAAAACAACAGAAATAATGATAAAAAAGAATAAATAAAACGTATCTAGCACCTATGTCAGACTGTAGTTTAATAGATTAAGGACATACATATTCATAACTACCAATAACTATTAATCTAAGCATACATGAATATACTCATTAGTGCAAACATATATGCATATGTAAACTAATACTCCAACAGCTTTATATAGACCATTTTTGTTTGATTTTTAAAAATATATTTATTCCTTACTCCTTAAATTCTCTGCCTTTTTTGAAACAGGGTTTCTCACTGAACCTGGAGCTCACTGATTTGGCTACAATGATTGGCTAGTGTGCCCCAGGAATCTTCATTCCCACCTGCCCAGTGCTGGAATTACAGATGTATGCTGTAATGCTGCATTTGTCTTTTTCACTGAGTACTGGGGATCAAACTCATTCTCCTGGTTACGTGACGAGCACTTGGACAAGTGACTCATCTCCCCAGCCCTGATACTTTAGTGAAACTCTGCTTTATGATCCTAAGTGCTATACTTAACAATTGCTATACGCTTTCAAGTATAAGACTCCACCACACCAAAAAATAAACAAACCTAGATTTTAATGACCATCCTCTAACTGTACCAAAATTTCATTCTTTTTACTTTTTCTGCTTAATTATCTGCTTAATGATACATAAAAATTGTTTATTGCCTTGGCTTCTAACTCTGGAAGAATTTCAAGTGTGTACCACCACGACCATGCAGAACTGAAATACTCTGCTTTAATTAGCAAGCTAGCTACTTCTTTCTGAGAAGTTTGGAGCAGTCTTATTCCCATGTTATTCAAAATCATTTTCCTGTATATATCTCCTTCCCTCTAATCTGAGCAAGCCTTTCACAGCCAGGATTCCACAAGAGAATTAAGTTCCATAGAAAATGATTTCAATGACTACACTGTAAGCCTCCAACAACATATACAGCTAGTATCATCTAAGTAGTAAAAAGAAATTAAATCACTACATAACAATGTAGGGTTTAATTCTCAGTTGAGAACACTATATATATATATATATATATATATTTGTACATAATCACCCTTCAAAATTTCAAATACCAGGACAAGGATACATGAAGGATGCAACTTAATTAGCAAATGAAGCTTTTGTAAAATTCTGCACAACCCTTACCCCCGCAGATGGATACTAGTGAACCTAAAGTTTTGGTGCTGCTTTCTAGTTTCTTCCACTGTGTTGAATGTTATCCTTCTTAGGGATTTTGATGGGCCATTTTGGCATTAATAATATATGTGCTTAAAGCAATAGTCATCAGTAGACACAAACTGATATTCTACATTGTTTTACTCATTAGTTTTGGTGACTCGATTCCAATATGCACATAAGTGTCTTTTTATGCTACTACAGATGATGGAGTTGCCTGAACAGCATGTTAGAAGAGAAAAAGATACTGGTAGATAGCTAACCATTTTGCCTTCACATTTAATTAGTTTTATCCATAGCTCAGTTCAAAGGACTATCTAAAAACAAAAAAGGAAGATATAGATCATAATTTGAACACATATAATAATTATCAAGAATGTAAATATTTTTTGAGCCAGGCATAGGTGGTACACGCCTTTAATACCAGCACTCAGAAGGCAGAGACAGGCAGATCTCTGTAAGATTGAGGCCAGCTGGAGCTACAGGGAGACCCTGTCTCAAAAAAGACCAAAATAAATAAATAAATATTTTTATCTTGTCCTAAATGAAAATGGACTAGTATTGATAGTTGATATGTGGCTGAGTTTAATAAGTATGTGAACTTTCCACAGGATTTAATTTCTAGCCTATCTTTCAGAGGTTTTGATATCTCTTGCTAGCATGTATTGAAGCCTTTTATATAAGCCATGTTTGCTAATGCTGGTATGCTTCAAAACCAAAGCTCTGACATGAATATTTGGCTCAAGTTAGGAAGCATACTATTTTACAATTTATATCCATCACTCTTAGTAATGTAATTTAGAGAAGCCCCTGAACTGAAAACATAAAATGTGTTATTAAAAGGTCTCCAAAGGCTTAGTAAGTAAAGCGCTTGATGTGCCGGCATGAGGACCAGACTTCAGAGTCCCAGAACTCATGTGAAAGTTGGTGGGCATGGTGGGTGGTCCACCTATAATCCCAGCACCCAGGAGGTAGAGACAGGGCTCCTCAAAACAAGATGGATAACCAGACTAGACAAACCAGTGAGTGACCCTGCCTCAACATGTAAGGTGGGAGAACAATCTAAGACGATATTCAACATCAACCTTGGGTCTCCACATATATGTGAACACACACACACACCTGCATGCACACCACACAAACACATGCAATAAAACCCCAGAAATTTCTGAACCCTGTACTTTCTTTGGGGTTCTTAGACAGGGTTTCATATATTCTAGGCTGGTGTCAATAGAGTTCTTGGTTTTATTAAAACAAAAACTAACCAAACAACAACAACAAAAAAACCCTGACAGCACCAAAACCCAGGATTTTACCCATTTTAAATTATCTGGACAAATAGAAAGAGAATCTCTTTTTTTTTTTTTTTTTAATTACTTAAGTTCAAGGCCAAACATATGGTATAATAATAACAGAAAACATTCTGGATTAAAGCTATTTATCAACTTGAATTTTTAAGATATCAAAGTTTAGGGTCAATAATGGTGACCTTTTGTTCATAAGCTATTTTAAATGCTCTCTGCTCTGAAGACTGCAGATATCTGATCTGAAGATCATAAAACACAGATGATACAGATAATCTTAGCTACTTCTGAGGATAAGGCAGGATGATTCTAAATTTAAGGCCAGCCTGGGCAACCTAATGAGACCCTGTTGAAACAAGGAACTTTTTTTTAAAGGTTGGGGTTTAAGCTCAGTAATGGAATGCTTGCCTGTCATGTGTGAGGTCCTGAATTCAATCTCTACTATAATATTTTTTAATCTAAAATGTCTATTCATTTAGTTAAGGAGACAAATAGCCACAAATGAAAGAGACACTGACTTTATCTTCTATAACTAAATACTGTCAAATTGTTTCATGAAGCTTCATTTATGAAGACAATTTTAAGAATTAGAGTCATTAAGAAGAAAATTTTGGATTTTTGTGCTTGGAACTACTTTAGCCATAATTATATTCAATGTTTTATATTTCTTAGAAGTTGAAGCTTTGAGAGGCATTTAAAAACTTTTTGTAGTTTCATATTTTAGGATACATGTAAAGCATCATTATCAACGGCAGTAAGATTTTGTTTCGTAAACAGTATGTATGCAACATCCAACTGACTCCATGGGCCTAGCTTTATTTCCTTTATGCACCTGCAATCTTTCATCCTTCTGGCACTCTCCAGAACCTGCCAACGTGGCTCACTCAAGGTCTGAGCAGCCCGCAAGCTCCCAGCACCAGCCTTTCTCCATCATCCCCCATCAGTCTCCCTTCACTTTACAGCTGGCCTATGTTTTTTTTTCCTCCTTTTTATCTTTCTCTAGAAAAAAGTCTAAATAAGAATACTTGCACCTGTAATAAAAGGCATTAAACTATTTGTTAAGTTCAAATCCTGGCTCTTAAAAAACTGGCAAGTCACGTAAACTTTCTTAACAGATAAGGAAAAATGGCCTGTCTAAGTTAGC